AATTATTACCTTTCGTGGTCATTGATCACAAAAGCATCTTTGTTCAACAAAATGTGATTAGGTCCCCTTGAGGTCAGCACATGCTTAAAGACTAATATTTATTTAAGGGTTTTACTGATGTGAATCTTTCTGCAATTACCATTTCACCTGATTGTGTTAACAATGCACAGTAATGTTTGTATGTTCAGGAAAAAAATTTGTGCTTACAGACTTGTAATACTTGAGAGAGAGAGAGAGAGAGAGTGGCTCTAACACAGTATTTATGCAACAGGGTAGAAGTACTGTTAAGTGCTGTTGCTGTGTTAGGCAAACCAAGAGCATAGATAACAGAGAAAAAAGTCCTGGTAGTAAGTGATGTCAGGCTATTTGCCTTAAAAGATTGAAATTTCTGTTCTTGGTTTTATTTTTTTTAATTTCCATGTATTTGTGCTCTGCACACAAACTGAACTAAGCTAGGTTTTCTTGTATATCCATCTTTTTATTTCATTTAGCCAGTAGCATATCATTTCAGTCTGTATGCTTTTCTAAGGAAGATCATTTTATCAAGGAAATGTCCTGGTTGTCATAAGAGAAAATTTAAAACACACACACACACAAATACACACATACGTGAAAGCAAAGCACAGCTGAGATTAGACATAGTCCAGTGATTGATATTTTAAGTTGCACATGATACTCTTTCCTTGTTCTGTTGCACTGCATTTAGATATTGTATGGCTTTCCAGACATGCTATGCATAATTTTACATACCATCTGCTTTACATGCCAGGTTCCATATGTACAATGTATAACCTAAAACCAATATTTTGAATGATTTGAGCTACAGTGGAGGCTTTTGTTCTTAAATTGTTGAATAGAAGAATATAGTCCTAAATAAATTATCCAATGAATGTGTTCTGAGTCTAACAAAGAATAAAATTTACTTTGAAAATGTTCTTAAAGTTGTAGTAATGACAAAATTTAGGTAACTTTCAAGAACCCCAGTAATGTTACTTCTTAAATCCAAATACCAAGATACCTGTAAATGCTTGCTACCATTCACTTAACGACCATAGCAATACAAGGGCATAAATACGTTTCAGAATCAGGCAAGGGACAGTAAAAATAATCTTGAAATATTCATCTGAATAAATATGAACAGCATTTAGTCCTCAAAACGGGGTGAGGTTTATATAGCTGCTAAAAGTGAGCAATGGTTATTCAGAATCATGTTCTGGAGTTTCCTGGTACTTCATTATCTAGCTTCATTCAACTCTGCCTTAAATACTCATAGTCTTTAGTAACAGGTAAGCCTAAAAATCCTAAATTTCTGTTTTGAAGATGCTGTCCACAGGATTTGTCTGAATGTCCATACACATCTTTGAAGAAAAAGTACTAGAACATCAAAATTAAAAAACTCCATAGAATTCCAAACAATGGCTCTCAGACAAACCCAAAGATTTATTAAAATAATATCTTAAAAGAAAGAAGAAGAAGAGCATTGCTTTGGATCTTAAAAAAAAGCACCATCATCACGCCCTGCCATACCCCTCAACAAAAAAAATCCAAACCTCATAATATTGAAGTATTTACCATATTTTTCACATTTGGCTTGAAATAGAAGTATTGTCAACAAAAATAGGTTGTTGCATTACAATGTGTAAGCAAACAGCAGATAGACTGGAGAATAGAGGAAGCAACAAAGTAGCTCAAATAAAATTTTACTCCCTGTAAAGTCCCATAAAATATGTACCCTCCACTTCCATATATGGCACATGATAAAAGAAACCCTAGAATTCACAGGAAAATCAGAAAGAAACCTGCAATATGACTTTTTAAGAATGAGGTGTCTGTCTTGCCTATGAATTTGCAAGGAGAGAAGAGATACTCAGTGAAGCATTTGTCCATTTTGCAGGGTTTTTTTCCCGCTGTAACATGAACGTCTTAATCTTTTCACAGTTAAGTATTAGTGACACATTCAGTTCACTTCAATGACAATTCTACCAAACGCCTGCAAAAAAAGCAGCACTTCAAACTTTGCTTTTATATTTGCCTATTACCACAAAGTTGTACTTAAAAGGAAACATCATTACTGGACCATAAATGAGAAAGGTTTTTTCTTTTTGTATTGCATTTTGTTAGTGATGGAGGCTACAGGGGTGCCTTCTGTGAGAAGCTGCCAGAAGCTTCCCCTGTGTCCCACAGAGCTGATGCCAGCCAGCTCCAAGACAGACCTGCTGCTGACCAAGGCTGAGCACCAGCAGCAGTGGTGGTGGCACCTCGGGGATAACAAATTTAAGAAGGGAGAAAAAATACCCTGAGCAACAGAAATTGCATCCAGAGAGAGGAGTAAGCAATAGAAACTGCATTCACAGAGAGGACTGAGAACATGTGAAAGCAATAGTTCTGCAGACACCAAGGTCAGTGAAGACAGACTGGGAGGAGGTGCTCCAGGTGCCACAGCAAAGAATCCCCTGCAGCCCCCGGTGCAGACCATGGGGAGGCAGCTGTGCCCCTGCAGCGCAGGGAGGTCCCTGGTAGAGCAGAGATCCACCTGCATCCCCTGGAGGAGCCTGTGCCAGAGCAGGCTGATGCACAGAGGAGGCTGTAACCCCTTGGGAAGCTCATGCTGGAGCAGGCTTCTGACAGGACCTATGGCCTTGTGGAGGGAGCACTCCACACTGGAGTAATGTCCCTCTTTGTGGGACCAACACCACAACAGTCTGCACCTGAAGGAGTGCACCTTGTGGAAGGGCCCCACGCTGGAGCAGCTCACGAAGAGCTGCAGCCCACGGGAGACTTGTTGGATATGTTAATGGCGGACCATCTCCCATGGGATGAGCATCACACCAAAGCAGGGAAAGAGTGTGAAGAGTTCTCCTCCTGAGAAGGAAGGAGACGCAGAGACAACATGTGATGAACTGACCACAACCCTCATTCCCTATTCCCCAGAACCACGGGCAGGGAGGAGGTAGATAATTAAGGTGTCAAGTCAAGCCTGGGAAGAAGAATGGATGGGGAAGAAGGCTGAGAGGGGAAGGGGAAGGGTGGATGTTTAAGATTTAGTTTTTATTAATTTTCCTACTCTGGTAATAAATTAAGCAAATTTCCCTAAGATGTGTCTGTTTTGCATGTGACACTAACAGCTGAGTAATTCCCCTGTCCTTATCTCAACCCATGAGCTTTTTGTTACATTTTCTCTTCCCTATTTTGCTGAGGAGGACGGTGATAACACGGTTTTGGTGAGTTCCTGGCATCCAGCCAGTGGCACCCCAGCACACCTATCAATGTAATAGTCACGTTGTTCATGAGCATGGGCATATTTCTGATACTTGATAAGTTTTTGACCAAATTCAGCATGTAGGGGTGCTTGGGGGTTCTTTCAACACTCAGATTTGGGAAAAAAATTTAAATCACATTTTCCTTTTTAAGACATTCCAAGCAGTTGAGAGTGGTTAGTCAGGCTGCAGGAATAAGTCTAGCTTTTGCCATTTGAATATCAATATTTGTATTTGGTGCTCCATTATATATCTGACTGCTCCCAATCTAAATACTGCACTGAACAGAGGATGTTCTGTGAACTAGAACTTCCATTTGCTAATGGAATTTTTTTTTCATAAAATCTTCTTTGTTATCCATATGAATATGGGCATTTTAATTATTAATCAGAAGCATTCTTTCTTATTTGTATCTGTGCTGTGAAAGAGTTGGATAAAACAAGATAAAAAATTAATGTACATTTAGATTTTTCTCCTCTCTAGAGAGAGGGTGTTCATGAGTTAAATGCTTATGCAACACCTTTCCTTACAAACTGTACTATAACTCTTGTTACTTCTCTACTGAGACTTCCTGGGCCCAATCCACAGGCCACTGAAGTCAATGAGAGCTCATCTAATTGTCTCCAACTGCTTCTAACTTTTTTTTTTTTTTGAGAAAAAATATATCCTGGAAAAAGTACCAATTACTAAGTAATGTGTTATAATGTCTATGGGTAAGAAAATAGGATTCAGCCCACTTGATTTCCAACACAGCAAGAAATCATTCCAGTATTCTTCAGTGCAAAATAGCAATGAAAATCTAGAAGACAATCCTGACACTGCTAAAATTCTTTGGTTAGTGAGCTAGCTTATATGAGGAAGTTTCTTTTATACATCTCTTTTGCTTTGCCATCTCTCCATCTTCTGCCCAGTCCTTTTCATTCCATATTGACCATAATTGCCTTCCTCTGAAGTCAATTGGGAGTTTTGCCATTGACTTCAACGGCAGAGTTATCATACCCAGGATGAAAAACACAGTGAGAAGAGATCATTGCCAAAGTACACACAGTAGAAGTAAGAAAAAAGACTTCAATGATTTACCAAAGTCCACTTAAAAATCGCCAGCAATTGTGAGCTTTCATATGTGGTTCCCACAAATCACACCAGGCAGTCTAGGAGAACAAAAAGCCCCTTGCGCGGTGTTCTTAGCATTTGGTAGCCAAAGCTGAGCCCCTGCCCGAGCGGAGTTAGCCGTGTACAAACCCGAGCTGAGACACCCGCTAATTGACTGCAAACATTTTACAAACATTACGCTTCCCTGAGGGACAAGCGTCTTCGCACCGGAGCCCTCTGCAGCGCGGGAGGACAGAGCATGCAGGACGGGGAGCGGGCAGGGGAGCCGCGGGCACCCTCTCGCCGCGGTGCCGGGGCACCGGCCGGGGCTCCGCTCTGCTCCCCCAGCGGGCAGCACCTGGCTGCTCCGCTGCGCAGGTGAGGCGCCCGGCGGAGCTCCGGCTCCGAGTCCGATCGGTGGCACCGCGGCGTCCGAAACACCGGACCGCGCTGGCAGCCCCAGAGATGCGGCCAAAGCCGAGGAGCAGCGGAGTTCCCGGGGTGTACGGGGGACACCGTGCCCTCCGTGCCCCGGTCCCAGCACGGCGCGGAGCAGAGCCGCCAAGGAGGGAGCCCCAAGAGCGGCAGGGCACCCTCCACACCTTACCCGCCCCCGAGGGACCCCGGCGAGGCGCGGAGCCCCGTACTCACCGCGGTGCTGCAGGCAGCAACCCGCAGCGCAGGCGAAGCGCCCCCGCCCCGGCCGGTGCCCGCTGCGGTGCACAGACCCCGTCCCTCGGCGCCCACATCCAAACCCCGGTCGCGCAGCTAAAAGTCCTTCTGAGGAGCACACGGCGAGCCCCGCCGCCTCCTGCCTCGGATCGCTGACACCTCCCCTCCCCTCGCCCCCCGCCCTGCGCCCCCCCCGGCGGGCGGCAGCAGTATCAGCAGTCCCTAACCCTCACATCACGCACCGGCAGAGGTGCCGGTCCTCGTCGCTACTTACCGGGCATCCTTCAGAGCGGCGGGCGGGCGGGCGGGAGCGAGGGAGGAGGAGGAGAGAGGGAGGGAGGGATTGAAGGAGGGAGGGAGGAGGGAGGGAGGGCGCTCCAGGCGGGCTGCGCGACGCTGCGCTGTGCTGTTCGGCAGCCTGGGCAGCTCGGCAGTCAGTGAGTGAGTGCCTCCGTGCGTGACGGCGTGTGCGTGTGTGCGCGATGCTGGACACAAGCGAAGGGAGACTCAGGCACGGGAGGGCGGCGGGAAGCGGCGGGGGAGATCAGGGGGCGCAGCCCGTGCATGGCGGTGGCACCAGGTGCGGCCCAGCGCGCCCCCGGCCCCGCGGCCCCCAGCGCCCCGCAGCCGCGGCGGGAGCTGCCGGAGAACGGCTTGGGGGAAGCGCGCATCCTCCCCGCTGCCACACGCACCGCCGGGTGAATGGGGGAAGCGGGGGGAGGGATTAAAAAAATAAAGGTAATTAAAAAGCCCAAACAGTAGGAAAAAAAATAAAAAAGAAAACTCTGTCTCTACTTCCCGGCCGAGGTTTGAGCCCCCCGCCCTAGAGCTGCGGTCCCGCGGCAGCGGCGCGCTCCTGCCGCGCCGGGAGCCGTCACCGCCCGCGGTGCAGCACGGCAGAAGCTGCCGCTGCCGGTAGCGCCCAGCTGAGAGCCAGAGCCGCTCCCCGCGCACAGAGGAGCCTCCCTCTTTCCCTCCCTCCTTCCTTCCCACCCTTTTTCCTCTCCTTCCCTCCCTTTCTCTCTCCCAGTCCGCTAAGGCGGGCAACGCGGCCAGGTGCTGTCGGCTCGCCCTGCGGCCGAGCGAAGAGCCGGGCAGGGCCCTCCGCCGGCGCTGGCTGCTCCGCGGGAAGCGGCCGGGCTGCCGCAGGCATTGGGGTGGCGCTGGGAGGCTGCTGCCGCCGGGACGCAGCTGGAGGGGGAGAAGCGAGGGGCGCAGAGGGGAAGTCGGCTGCCCCCAAGAGCTGCCGGCGGGGCCCAGAAGCGACAGCAGAGGAATGAAACAGCAGCGGTGAGGGCCCGCCTCTGCCGGGCAGCGGTGCGCTGCCCCAGCGCATCCCTGCAAACGCCGCTCCCTCGCCCGGCTGCTCACCTCCCGCCCGAGCGGAGTGACCCGCTGGAGAGGACCGAGGACGATGCATCATGACTGCTGGATGTTTGGGAGAGGAGGGGGGAGCAAGCAGAGAAGGGAGGGAGGGCATGATTAAAGGAATCGAATGAAAGGGGGGTGGGGGGGAAAGCAACACGCACACTAAAAAAAGCTTGTTCTTGGGAGAGAAATCAAAAATAGCCACAACAGCATTGAAAGTTGCTCGCTTAGTGATTTGCATTATAACGCTGCCGCTGCTACCTGGCTCCTCCAACGCGTGCCCAAGGAACATGCAAGATGGGAGAGGGGGAGCTATATACTTTTTTTTGTGATCTCTAAAAAAAAAAAAAAAAAAACCAAAGCAAAACCAAATCAATCACAGCCCGGACACCCCACTCCTTTGATGGAGAGGTGGCTGCAGGTGGTGGTTTCGGAGCTTCAAAAGGAGTTTCCTGTGTGTAAAGGAGCCATAAGAGTGCTCCTCTGGGGTTTTGGGCCCTCGAGAGTTTGGCAGCCCGGGTAGAGTGGGGAGCAGGCGCTGATGCCCGGCCGGAGGGATGCGAGGGGAGTGCCCGGTGGCTGCTAACGGGGCCAGCTCCCTATCCTGGGGCACAGCGCAGCGGGGAGCGAGGGAGGCCCCCGCCTGCTTCCCCTCGCTCCTCCTGCCGTGCCATTCGAGACCAGTGATAAGTGGCTCTGTTTTCGGGAGAAAAAAAAAATAATTAAAATAAAATAAAATAAAATAAAATAAAATAAAATAAATAATAAAATAAAATAAATAATAAAATATAAAATACTGGATAAAACGTACTTTTTATTTATCAACGCTTCGTGTCCTGATTTAAAAAATAGCACCAAATCTTAACCCAGATTATGCAGTTAAATGTATGGAGCCAGAGGCAGCGTGGCTGTTTGCCAGACCGATGATCCATTAACCTCTTTAGCTCATTGTTGGCAGGCAACAATAGCACACGAATAAATTCTTACATTTTAAAGACAAGCCATTTTCTTTTCATAGTAAACTCTCCTCTCCTATGCTGCAATTAAAAATAGAGTATCAACAATAAAAAATATGAGAAAGAATTAATACTGTGAGTTTTTAGCTACTTTGTGTCCATTTTATGGGCAAAAACATCGTACTATGCTTAAAGCAATATGTGTAAAGGTGGACAGAGGTATATTAAAACTTCTTATTTTATAAGAAGGATTTTGGATAATTTTACCTTCACCACTGAATTAAATACTATACACTGTCTAGAATTCAAAGTTTTAGTTCCAGTTCTCTTTACAGAGAGAAACCAAGCAAAACCCTATGTAATCAAAATAAAAACATGAAAAGAGGCTATATAAGGCCTTTTTCTCCCTTTCATGTGTTGTAAATATATATACACATATATCCCCTTTAATCAAAAACGTTCTGTGTGAAGCTATATATTCATACATAAATGTTTGTTCATGTATACATGCTCTATAAATAACAATTATATAAATAATGTATTTCAAAATCATCGAAAAATTAGAATAAAAAGAGGCAAAGCTAAAAACACAGCTCTCAACATCCTGCTGAGTGCTATAAAAAAGTGCTACCACTTGGAGGAGAAGTCATAGAATCACTGATACAGAAAGAATATGAAAGTTATACCTTACACCTTATTTTTCACACAAACAATTTAGGTAGTAGAAATTCATCTGTGAAAAAAAAAAAGTGTATAATATTTCCTGTGTTTCTCTTTTTTTGCGTAGGACATTAGGCTGAACAGCCCAAATATTTATTTTGGAAAGTCTACATTCAGAGAGGTTGAATTTGTCACTGCTAAATCAACCTGTGTCTCTGGGAGTGGAGGATAGATAGTATATGCAAAATGGATGATTGATCGTGTGGGGACCTGGGGAAAAAGAATGGGAAATGTGGTGGGAATGGGGAGAAGGGCCAGCTGGGTGACAAGATTGAATTCAAGAATTTGGTGTGTTACAGAGGTAGCTGGTCCTGTAAGCAAGCGCAATCTCATGTGGAGGAGGTAGCAGGAAAGAAGACCTTTATACCTTTTGCCATGGTCAGGCTGTGCTGCAAAACACATCCTACTGTTCATTAGAAATGCAGAGTGTAAGATAATACCTACATCTTCTCAAGACCTCGGCACATTGTTTCTAAATCCTCTGTGGTTTAGGAAAAGTCCTCTCAAATACACCAAACATGAAATTCTGGGAAATGATAAAAGATCTAAGTTCATAGGACTCAACCTCTTGAGGAAAGTTTTAGCGGTGTATTTTTTGTCACCTTAACAAGCTCCTCAGACATAGTCAGCTGGCACCATTCTATCCTAGCCCAAGAGAGAAAGGCCCAAGGCTCTTTATTTAATTCAGGAAAATGTAGTGTTGATCCCATTTTCATTAAGATCAGTAATAAAATTAAGAAGTGACTGCTATATTAGCATAAAATTTTGAGTGTGTGAAACTTCTGGCTTTAAGAGCAGATGGGAGAAAACGGAAACCTACACCATAGTGTCAAATTTAGGCTATATTTCCACCTGTTGCAGCAAGAGTAGTCATAAATAGCCCAAAAATTAATGAATTATTATTGCTACTGTAGATAATATGTCAAATGATTGAAAGCAAGTATATTCTAGCTGTTAGCTTTTTTTCTCTGTTGTCTTCACTAAATCCAGTATTTTCTCCTTACTTAAGAGCCATCTACTGTAGCAGGGGAGAGGTATAAGTTATCACACACATTAGTCCATCTTTTCATATGTTGTTTAGGATAATCACATTGACATTAGCAGATGTAAAACTGTGAAGTTTCTGTCTATCCTAAATTCCCAACTTTCATGTGATATAAAAGTAACAGGTATTCAGTAGCCAGAATTTTAAAGAAATAGAAAACTGAGACCTCTATTCTTTAATAAAGTTCTGTTTGTTTCTTTTACAAAGCCTATTATCCAATACCTTTATTGTATTCATTTCAGAACTCTAACTTCAAGAAGTATGTACTATTTATTACAAATGGGCATGGATAATAAATAACAAGAAAAACTTGTTCTCTGCAAAATTAGATAAAAATGGCAAGACTAAAATGCCCAGCCTTTATTACACTTGCTGTATGGTTGCACTGGTTTGCAATCTCATTAACAACTTGAAACCAACTGAGGCTTTGACACTCAACAGGATTTTCTATGAAAGTCAAAATGTCAGAGAAAATGTGCAGATTGGTATAGGATGTCTATTCTTCTATATATAACACTATGGATCCAAGATTTTTAGTTTAAAATTAAAGTTTCTCTAATAGTTCTAGGAATTGGACTAGAGTGTTTCTTTACTTTTTGAACATCTCGTCTAATAAATGTATGTTTTATGTAATTGTCTCCCAAATTTTAAAACTTGCATTCTGTTCTGTGTGAAGTGCCTCATATGTCAACTCTTTTTTTTTTTTAATTTATGGTAAGTGACTTACTTTTTAAAACTTAAAGTTTTTAAGAATCTCGTAAGGTTATATAAACTTGTGCATTAAAATTATAGATTTCTTAAAACTTATAACCAATATATATCTATTAAATTGGAATTTGCCTTCATAAACCATTAAAAACATGCTTCACTGAATCAGTAAATACTATATGTTTGAGCTGTCTGCATATTATTGACTTTTCTGGTTTCTGCAAAGCATTACATCAGAACTCCCTTCCTCCCATTGTTTTCATACCAGAAAAATCAATTTAAATCTTAGATATACAAAGCAACAAAGGTAATCTAACCTTGATATATTTAAGAATTTATACAGTATCCTTCTTTATTTTGTTGAAGCTCTGCTTT